TCGCTAAAAGGAACGACGATCGCCACCGCCGCCCTGGGACATACCAGTCCGAAGACTGCATTCTACTCGACACGCATAACTAACGCATGTCGTACCGAAGCTTCACCCGCGCTATTGTGGCCCATTTTAGATAAGACACATTATAACACCCATCACCTCCCATCTCGTGCTACCCGCCGACTAGTACATCAGCCAGTATACACCGATAATGTATGGTTTGTTTCAGCATTCCTCACCGCGTGCTTCAACACCGCATACAGCACCAAACGTTTCTTCGCCCGTGATTGCTAACGGAGCTTCGCCGGCTTCGCGCGTACTATTCACCAAACCGTGCATCGCTGGACTAGCCCGAGTCGGCCTACGGTTCAGGACTAGCCCGAATCGCACTAGCTAGCTCGCACGCACCTCGTTACTGTTTGCATGTTTCGCTTATATTGTGAAAGCTTGCTTTCTGCAACTTGTAAAGGCATCGTGCTTCATTTCATATGGGGCATCGTGCTTCATTTCATATGGGTATGAGTACATCAATCTCGTCCAATGATAACTACGATTACAGCAAGAATCTTAGAGACAATGATTACCTGGGTGGGTGGGTGGGAAACTCAAACTTCGAAATTGAAAAGAAGAACGTGGGTGAGGCCGAATGGCCTCAAACCCCTCTTTTGTAGCCAAAAGAGGGCGAGTAGCGATGCGACGCTGCCTTTGCTGCGTTGGCAATCGCTACACTTTCACAATACACAATTTTGAAAAGTGTTACACACTTTTAAAATTTTACATATTGTGAAAGCTTGCTTTCTGCAACTTGTAAAGGCATCGTGCTTCATTCTATATGGGCCTTCTGAGACAAGCGAGTAATCGGTCGGCGATGCCGCTGGATAGACAATTGGTGCTGGTTCGGGGAGGGAGCGCGTGTAGGATCCTGAATCAGCTGGGAGGCAACTGTCAAACATTATATATGTTGTATTTGTGTAGGCTACAGTGGGTTAGCCTTTAGGGGGTACACAATTCTAGGGTTAGGTACTTGTACTCCCTTTCCTTTCTAGTCCAACACTTCTTCTTTCTAACATGGTATTAAGAGCGTAGGTTTAGACCTAAGATCGCTCCTTAGGGCCCACCGTTCCGTTCGAAGCGCCCTCGAGCGCCTTTCTCCTAGTGCGCCCTCGTGCGCCTCACTGTCTCCTACTGCCCGTGCGCAGCTCAGTAGAGCCGCACGCGGCCTTTTTTTTTCTCGCGTGCGTCGCCCCCTAGCAGCCCGCGTGCGGCGTTTCCTGCGAGCGCGCCGCCCGTTAGCCTCCCACGCTGCCACGCGCCGCCCGCTAGCAGCCCGTCGACGGGCCCTTCTGGCCGCGCGTAGCCCACTAACGACCGGCAGCCCCGCCCGTAGGCCGTGCCGCCGCCCTCTAGGCCGCCCACGTACTAGTCAGGCCCACGCAAGGCCACGGCCCGCCCGCTACAGTCGCCCATGTGCACGCCCCCCCCCCCCCGTCGCGCACTGCCCCGTAGCCCGGCCCGAGCCGAACCGCGCCGCCCGAACCGAGCCGCGCCGCCTAGGCAGAGCCGTGCCGCCCTACTGTTCCTACTACTGCAGTTCCTACTACTACTGTCACTGCAACTATGGCTAGTCCTTCTGTGCTAGCTTTCGATGCTGAGGGCCGCCCACTGAAGTTTGAGATCTGGCTCGATGACTTACACCTATTCCTCCAGCTCACTGCCAAGGAGGATATCTCACTGTACGATCACGCGCTAGGCCATGCTACTGCCCCTGCTGCTACAGCTGACAGTACTGCCCGCTCACAGTGGCAGACTCGTGACGCTCACGCTCGCTTCGCTATTCGCAATTCCCTGCCGGTAGATGAACGCGAGCACTTTGGCCAGCACAAAACTGCGCAGGCACTGTACACTGCTGTAGTTGCACGCTACTCCTCACCTGCCTCTGCTGCACTAGGCCGTCTCTCGCTCCCCTACCTGTTCCCAGACCTGTCAGCTTTCTCCACAGTCTCTGACCTCATCACGCACCTCCGCACTAGTGAGGCCCGCTTCCGTGCTGCTATGCCCGCTGAGTTTCTTGACAAGAACCCCCCCCCGCTCTGGCTCACTCTCTACCACCTAGTCACTCGCCTCCCTGACACTCTGCGTTCAGTCAGGGACCACTTCCTAGCTCGCTGCCCCACTGAGCTCACCATTGACCTCCTCGAGAAGGAACTGCTTGCAGCCGAGGCTAGCATAGTCGCTGTAGGTGCCTCTCGTGGCGACCCCTGCACCCCTTTCTTCGAGGGGTGTTCCCCTTCCCCCCTTCTCCCCTCTGTCGCCTCTGCTGCTGCTGTCGACCTAGTTGGTACTGAGCAGGTCGGAACTGCGTCCGCTCCGAGCTGGCGCCGCAGCGGCAAGGGCAAAGGGGGCAAGGGAGGTGGAGGTGACGGCGGGGGAGGCGGTGGTGGGGGTGGTGGCGGCGGTGGGGGTGGTGGCGGGGCTGGAGGGGCTAGTGGCGGCGGTGGGGGTGGTGGCGGCAGCGGCGGGGGAGGTGGCAGGGGCGGGGGCGGTGGTGGTGGCGGCGGTGGACGCGGAGGCGGCAGGGGCGGTGGTGGACGGGGTGGCAGCGGCGGAGGTGGTGGTCGTGGAGGCGCTGGCGGTGGCCAGAGCCAGCAGCCGACTCCGTCGCCCCAGGAGCTTCGTGAGTGGTACTCTCAGCACGGGGGGGGGGGGTGGACTTAGCTGCACGTACGTCATCCGCACAGGTGACCGCACTGGTCAGACGTGTGGGAGGGCGCACACCACGCAGCGCTGCTTCTCCCGCCTCGACGACGCTTGGCGTACTCAGTTCCCTGCTGCCACTGAGCTGCCCCGCTGGGCTGATCTGATGAAGAAAAACATTGATATCTATGCTCTAGACTTTGATGCTATTCTCACTGCCATGTATGTGTTGTCTACTAGTGGAGAGGGTGCTCAGTACCTGCGTGTTCCGCCCGACCCGGGCATTCGGACCAGTGAGGCTGCCGCTCTAGGTGCTAGTGCGTCTGTTGCCCTAGGTGCTGGTGAGGCTGCCGCTCCAGGTACTCCCGTGTCTCCTGCCCCAGGTACTGGTGAGGCTACTGCTCTAGGTGCTCGTGAGTCTGCGCCCCCTGGTACTGAGTCTACTGAGGCACTGCACACCTTCACACTGGACTCAGGTGCTTCTCGCTGTTTCTTTCGTGACCGCACTGCCCTTGAGCAGCTTGCTCGGCCAGTTGCTGTCTCCCTTGCTGACCCCTCAAGGGGTCCGGTCATTGCGACCTCCTCCACTGTCCTTCCTTGTCCTGCAGTTCCGTCGGGCACACTGTCAGGTCTCCACCTCCCCTCGTTCTCTACGAACTTGGTGGCGGGTTGTGCGCTCCAGGACGGGGGTGTCCACCAGTTCACCCCTGCCTACGAGCGCGTGACACACTGCACGTGTGCTCGGACGGGCCGTCACCTGGCTACCTTCACTCGGCAGCCGGGGTCGGACCTGTACACACTGACCACTGAGTCCCCTCAGGTAGCTGCGTCTGCGTCTACTTCAGGTCAGCTGTCTGCCCCCTGCTCGTGTCGCTCTCTAGCACACGAGACCGTCCTCTGGCACCACCGCCTTGGTCACCCGTCAGTGCAGCGCCTTCGTGCCATGCACAAACGGTACCTTGTCTCTGGTCTTCCCAGGGTTCTCCCTCCCCTCCCACCCTCGCCTGCTCCTCCCTGTCTTCCCTGTGTCGAGGGGCGGCAGCGCGCCGCTCCTCACTCCTCCTCGTTTCCCCCGACGACTGCTCCCTTGCAGACGCTCCACATGGACGTGTGGGGCCCAGCCCGCGTCCGTGGACAGGGTCAGGAGAGGTACTTCCTGATCGTTGTTGACGACTACTCGCGCTACACCACGGTCTTCCCCTTGCGCACCAAGGGTGAGGTCCCTGATGTCTTGATCCCTTGGATCCGCGCTTCTCGTCTCCAGCTCAGTGAGCGTTTCCACTCGGACTTTCCTGTCCTGCGTTTGCACTCTGACAGAGGTGGTGAGTTCTCCTCCGACCTCTTGGCAGCCTACTGTGCGGAGCACGGCATCCGCCAGTCGTTCACGCTTCCGGCCTCTCCACAGCAGAATGGGGTTGCTGAGCGCCGCATTGGCTTGGTCATGGAGGTCGCTCGTACCTCCTTGATCCATGCGGCTGCCCCCCACTTTCTGTGGCCGTTTGCGGTCCGATACGCTGCGCATCAGCTCAACCTCTGGCCCCGTGTCTCCTTGCCGGAGACTTCCCCGACACTGCGTTGGACGGGAGAGGTTGGCGATGCGTCGCGTTTTCGGGTCTGGGGTTCTCGAGCTTTTGTTCGCGATACGTCCGCGGACAAGCTCTCCTCCCGCGCTGTTCCTTGTGTCTTCCTTGGCTTTGTCCCGGACGCGTCTGGTTGGCAGTTTTACCACGCCACCTCGCGCAGTGTCCTGCCCTCTCAGGACGTCACTTTTGACGAGTCCGTGCCCTACTACCGCCTCTTCCCCTACCGCACTGCCCCGCTCCCCCCCCCCGCCTCTCTTCCTCGCGCCAGGTGCTGCTGTGGTAGACCCCCTCCCCCCTCAGGGTGCCGCTCCCTCAGGTGTGTCCCAGGTAGACCCGGTTGAGCCTGTCGAGGTAGCTGTCGACTCTCGTCCTGCTAGGGGTGCTGAGCCTGAGCGAGTGGAGCCTGAGCGTGCGGAGCCTGGGGGTGCGGAGCCTGGGGGTGCTGAGCCTGGGGGTACGGAGCCTGGGGGTGCGGAGTCTGGGGGTGCTGAGCCTGGGGGTGCGGAGCCTGCGGGTGCTGAGTCTGGGGGTGCTGAGCCTGGGTGTGCTACGTCTGAGGGTGCTGAGACTGAGCGTGCTTCACCTGGAGGAGCTCTCTCCTCACAGTAGCTACGAGAGTGGTACTTACAGTACTGCAGCCTCAGGAGGGGTGCTTCTGGAGCTAGGAGTGTTGCTGGAGCTGGTGCTAGTGCTTCCCCTCCTAGGCGGGAGCTGCCCTCTCCCCAGCGGCTCCGGGAGTGGTACGCTCGGCGCTGCAGTCTCCGGAGTGGCGCTCCTAGTGCCGCGGACCCTGGTGCTGGAGGTGCTGCTGGTGCTGGAGGTGCTGCTGCTGGCGGTGCTGCTGGTGCTGCTGGAGGTGCTGCTGGTGCTGGTGCTGCTGGAGCTGCTGGAGGTGCTGCTTCTACTGGAGGTGCTGCTGGTGCTGCTGACGCTGCTGGAGGTGCTGCTGGTGCTGGTGGTGCTGCTGGTGCTTCTGGAGCTGCTGGAGGTACTGCTACTACTGGAGGTGCTGCTGGTGCTGCTGACGCTGCTGGAGGTGCTGCTAGTGCTGGTGGTGCTGCTGGTGCTGCTGGAGCTGCTGGAGGTACTGCTACTACTGGAGGTGCTGCTCGTGTGCGATGGTGACGTAGAGGTCTTTTGCGTTGTCACTGCGCCAACGGCCCAACCGCTTGAACATCCTATCTGAGACTCCGATGCCTGCCGCCGTCGTTGCTGCTCCTTTGCGGAAGGAGTGCGTGCCAAGGTGGTTGGCGTTGAGGCCAACCTTTTTGAATGCTTCCAAGCACCAATTGCGAACAGTTGGGTACGAAGGCGCGTCGTCGTGCGGAGTTGCTTTGGAGTCACGTGTGAACACCCGTATCAGTGGTCCTTTGGTCGAGGCGTCATAGCCGGCAAGCGAGATGAACTGTCTGGTGATATTTACTGGGCAATATGGTCCGGGTGTAGTCGCAATTGCGACCCATATTCCCTTGCCTTCTTGGTCCTTTTTGGAGTGGGGAATCAATAGCCACATCGCCGCCTCCTCGAACTGGATGTCTTGCCACTGAATTGCGACGAGGTCCGAGAAGCGGAGAAAGCCCGTGTACATGAGCAGTGGGATGAGGCCTTTCTGGAATACGGAGGGAATGTCGGATGCGATGAACTCGTGTGTCATCTGGTGAACCTGGTGAAGAGACACGGGTTCTTTAGTCCTGTTTGGGCGCGGGGAGCGGCGCTTGGCGAATTCTCGGACCTGGGAAGTGAAGGGGCCGTTCGTGGGACAAGTAAGGCCAGTCATCTTGTGTGCGAATGCGACTGCCGAACAGATCAGCGTGATGGCGGACAGGGTGGCGTGCTTGTTGAGGGCGTATATCAGGTACAGCGCGAGTGTCAAGTCTGTGGCGGGTAGGTAGCTCAGTGATAGCTTGTTACAGAATGATCGGAATTTTCCCCAGTAGGGGTCGTAGGTGCGGATTGTTGAAGGAGCTCGTACTTGGCTGATTACCGAGAGGAGTTGCTTTTGAAGGTTGGATAATATATCTGCCATACATGGAATATATATGAGTTACATTGTAAAGTCAATGGACAATGCAATAATCGGGCTATTGGGAAATCCAGTGCCTGAGAATGCGGCGGTGTGTGTGCCTGGTTGGAGGCACTGACTCCCGCTTGCGAGGCGAAGGTGGCTAGTAATTCCTATGGCCCATGTTTGAGGGGCCGGTTGCACTATGGGCCACCAGGCTGCCCCTGACCACTCAGGGATCACCAGGGTTAGCTTTGCCCGTGTGTGACGCGCGTGATGGAGAGTTGCAGGGACGAGGTGGGGGGGCGGAAATGCGAAGCCCCGTTCCCCGTGCCAATCCTTGGAGAATGCGTTGATGGCCTCGGCTCGCGGGTGAGGGACTTTAGAGAAGAAACGAGCAGCAATGCGTTCTGTGCATTTGCGAACAGGTCGACGGCGTGAGGCCCCCACCGACGGTCCAAGAGACGAAACCAAGGTTGTTTCAACGTGTAGTCATCGTAGTCTTGCAGCTTTGAGAGCTCGTCCGCGCAAGTGTTCTGATCTCTGGGAATCCATTCGATGGCTAGTCGCACCGCGTTGTCCGTGCATAGAGTGATGATCTCTTTGCAAGTGAGCGTGAGCTCATTATTGCGCGAGCCGCCTTTTCGTAGGATGAACATGACCCCTTGGTTTTCCACGCGAACCAACGTGTGGCCGTGTCGAAGACGGTCCATGAAGGTGCGTAGCGCCCAGAGCACGCCTTCCAACTCGCGTCGCGTACTTGAGGTTGGCCACAGGTTGTCGGGCATGCCAGCGCTTGCGTTGCTCGGTGTTCCGTGAAAAGTAGAGAGGGTGGCACCCCAGCTGTGCGCGCTGGCATCCACCTGGATGATGGCGTCGTAGTGATGCGGATGATGGAATGGTGCACCGTTGAAACGGTCAAACTGTTCCACCCAGAAGTGCAGTTCGTGGATGGCCTCAGTTGACAATGACACCTTCGAGTGCCATGAGGGCGCGTTGTTGATAAGTTGCAATAGCTCGTGGCTGAAGGCTCGCGCGGTTGCGCCCAAAGCGAGGCTCATGGAAGCAAGCATTTCGGTCACTCGAGCGATTTGACGAACGTTCACGTGGTGACCAGCGCGTCCGGAATCGATGAGACTTGTGATCGTCGCTCGTAACAAGGAGCGTCGTTCTTCTCCGACCGAGAATTTGCCGACTTGTGTGTTCAACTCGAGTCCGAGGAAGCGAAGCTCCTGTGTGGGGACCAGGCGCGACTTTTTCTCGTTGATTACAATGCCGGCGTCCCTCGGGTCCCTCACGATCTGTGCGCATGCGGCTCCCACTTGTTGTGCGGTCTCTGCCAGGATCAGTATATCATCCACATACGGGATAACCCGCCACCCGAGAGATCGCCATCGTCGGGCCAGCTATTTGATGAGTTGCGTGAAGATGAAAGGGGCCGTGGCCAGATCGAATCGCAGGGATTGGAAGAAGTAGTAGTTGCCTTCGAACTGGAATCCTAAGTACATCCAGCAAGTGGGATGGATGTGTGAGAATCGAGAATGGAATGGATGAACTAGAAATGAGATGGGTACAAGTAGGAAACACAAAAGTGTTGTACCCTCTAAGGACTACCCCACTACAGCCTAAACAGACTATAGCAAGTATAAGTTTGACACACCCCCATAGGCAAAGTGGGGGAGAACAAGAGGTCACAAGACCAGTCAAGAAAGACAAAGCAAGCTCAGGGTGGATCACAAAGTCACCACGCAGTCTGAGCACAAGCAAATGGCCACAAGGCCAGTTCATATGCAGAGTTATATAAAGGAAAACAAACTATAAACAGAACAAAACCTAGCAAGAGTAAGCATGCAGGTATATGTATAAAGAGTACAGTACAGGTAGAGTCAAGAAGACAGCAAGTGAGGCACAGTAGGTACAAGGCCTAACACAGTACAGAAACGCTGATGATCACAAGGCTGAAGTGCCTTGGTGAAAACATCAGCAGTGTTGGCCTGAGAGGCCACGTAAGCAAGACGAAGCTGGCCACGCTGCTGCAACTCTCGAGCAAGGAAGTAGCACAGAGCAATGTGCTTCGTTCTGTGCTCCAGTCTGTGCTCTTGACACAAGGCCAGCATGGCCTTGTTGTCGACGTACAGAACTGGAGGAGAACGAGGCGCCTCTCCCAAGTCGGTCAGCAGGTAGGTAAGCCAGCGTAGCTCCTGTGCAGCCATGGCCCCAGCGTAGATCTCAGCCTCACAACTGGAGCTGAGAACAGAAGAAGAGCGGGTAGACCGCCAAGAGATAGAACCGGAGCCAAGACTGAAGGTGTAACCCTGTGACGTCCGCTGCGTAGCCAAGTCGTCAACCCAGGAGGCGTCAGCGTGACCAGTGAGGACAACTCGAGCCCGTCCTCCAAGCACGAGCCCCATGCCCGATGTACTGCACAAGTATCGCAACACCCTCTTCGCAGCATCCCAGTGCACCTTTCGGTGCCTGCCGGGAGCCACGTAGCGAGCCAGAAGGCTGAGAGGGTATGCGAGGTCAGGTCGTGTGCAAGTCATCAGGTACATGAGGCAGCCCACAAGCTCTGGATACGGGCCACTCGGCTCTACGGACTCGTCCGAAGGTGGAGCTGAGAGCGAGTGACCGGTAGGCAGAGGAGTGGACTGTGGTAAGGAGTACGTGAATCCGAAGCGCTGAAGGACCTGCTGCACCATGTGTGACTGAGTCAAGGTAATGGTGCGCTGTGCTCTGTCCCGGATGATCCGCAAGCCAAGATAGCTTGTGAGCTCACCCAGGTCTGTGCACGTGTGTCTCTTCTGCAGCTCGGACTTTACGTGGGCGAGTGCCTCAGTGTCAGCAGTAGCAAAGACGAGGTCGTCTACGTACACGAGAACGTAGAACGGCGGCAGACTAGTGTCAGTGCGTAAGAACAGAGAAGGGTCAGCAGTAGAAGGAGCAAAGCCAAGAGAAGCAAGAGTCGTCCTGAGTGTGTCGTGCCACTCACGGGGTGCCTGGCGGAGATCGTAGACTGGCCGCCGGAGGCTCCACTGGGTACCAGCAGGAAACGACCCAGTGAAGCCAGGTGGGCGGCGCAGCCAGATCTCCTCGTGCAGGCTGCCCTGTAGGAAGGCTGTGCTGAAGTCAAGCGAGTGGAGCTCGTAGTCACGCTGAGCAGCAACGTGCAGCAGTACCCGAAGAGTGGTCATCTTCGGGGTAGGGGAGAAGGTCAGAAAGAAGTCAACTCCCTGTCGCTGACTGAAACCACGTGCAACGTAACGCGCCTTGAAGGCAGGCGGAGAACCCGGCGGCCGCTTCACCCTGAAGATCCACATGCCACTGACGATGTTCGCCTCAGGTGGGGGAACCTCGTCTACGTAGGTGCCTGTGGACTTCCAGGAAGCCATCTCTGCGTCCATGGCTGCCTGCCACTGAGAGGAGTAGGGACCCTCTATCGCCTCTGTGTAAGAGCGCGGGGTCAGGATGTCTAGTGCATCCGGGTCTCCCTCAGGGGCTAGCAGCATGGACACGAGATGAGGTACAGAAGCAGCAAAGCACTCAAACTCCTCCTGTCTGTCCTCAAGAACGTCCGTGCCAAGAGCACACTCACCCCCGACGGACGGAGGACAGACAGACACAGACGCCGACGCAGCAACAAGACTAGCGGCGCAGCAACCAGCTCAGCAACAAGAGCAGACGCAGCAGAGGACTCAAACAGGGGGTCAGTGACAGCAGTGCCCAGAAAGCGCGTGACAGTAGGACTAGCAGCACGAAGGGAGTCAGACTCCGGGTCCGGACTGGCAGGAAGAGAGGACGCAGGAGGAGACGGCAGAGGGACACGCTGTGGAGCAGTAGAAGGACGCAGTGTCATAGAGTGAGTGCCTGGGAGAGGAGGGAGACGCGGACGCGAAACACGGCCAGCGCGAACAGTACGGATAGGCGACGCAGAACGAGACGCAGGCGACACAGGACGACACTCAGGCTCACGACGCTCCGTAAGACCTCAAGTCGGTCCAGAGTAAGGACCGGGCAGTGGAGAGGCCGGCTGCAACTGCGACTGGGACTGGACAGGCGGCGGACTCAGGAAAGGAGGAGGAGGACCAGGGGAAGGCGGAGAGCTAAGAACCTGCTGAAGGAGCGG